AGCCGGGAACACGCGAAGATCAATGGGAGGTGTGGTTTGTGGCACGCGACCTATATCATCTTTTGTCACGCCTTTTTAGACACCGACTTTTAATCTTTATATATTTAATCTTCATCTTTTGCAATCAAAGTACTAGTAAAAGTTACATTAAGGACGATATATCGTCGACTCAAGATATGTAGCCTATATTTATGATACATCTGGGCAAGCGTTTACTTTTAATAATAAACTGTTCGGATTTATTGAATCTTAATATTCATTTCCCGTTGAAAAAATGTGACATTTGAAAATCTGTAGTGTTCATTCATATCGGAGATAGTTCATACAGAAAAAGGTATGTTTTGAGTGTATATTATTTCTTAATTCATATTTCTCTTAGTTGAATGGAGGTTTCAGCGCATGTATAATATATTTCTTCTGACATTGACACACACTAACCCAAATTTATTTTTGCTTTTAATCCTGAAAGGAAAATGTTTCTATATTTTGCTTGTAAAAACTAAGTTTAGCGTGTATGTATATCATATATAGACATTACACGCTGGTTGCATTTCTGCAAGTGACAGGTCAGTGTTATAAATGTCTCGGAAATATATATTTATAAAAAAAATTGCTTATTTATGGTGCCAAGTGTTACTATTTTTGTCAAGAGAGAATATAGCGTTACTGGAAAGTTACAGCTTTTTTTATCATTTTATTGTAATTAAACGCTAATAATCGATGTTAAGAATATAGAAATAAGAAAATAAAGCTAAGATGTTTTCATTCAGATATAGGAATTTAAAGGCAAAAGATATTACTGGACATTACTAGGTTAGTACTTTTACGCTTGAATGATGCTCAGTAAATATAATGTTTATTAAAAGTTTGTTTTTTGTTAAAAGAAAACGTAAACAAAATAAAGATAAAAAATAATTGAAATTAATACAGGCATTATTTATTTTTGCACGATTCAGACATTTATTTTTGACTTATTTCATTTAATTTTCAATGTACATTTTTCCTGTAAATTTTCATTGTAGTAAATCATTTCTTATAGAAACAATGTTTCGCATGTTAATTTTCATTTTTAAAAATAAGACAATAAACTATACCCACTTTTAGAAATATAAACTTTTAATAAAATATATACATGTATAGTGTAAATTAAGTTTGAGCGTAGTAAAATGATGCCACGCTTCAATTTAAATTGATTATCATTTATTTCATTTTAACCCCCGTATATCGCTCGACTTACTATTTTGCCACTATGAAAAAGCTGTATAATATACAATTATACTAAATGCTTCTCTTTTTTTAATGTAAATATTTCAAGAGCTTGGAAACAATACGTTGTGTACACATTTAATACAGTTCATATTTTATTTTAACCGAGCAATGTCTATTATTTTAGAGAAAAGAAAATGATATTCCAGCGTGACTTACAGTGTATAGTAATAACATAATTTCTGAGAGAAATTTTTGTCATTTTAAACATATTTTAAGTCAAATGGATATTGCAAATAAAACAATGAACTGAGTTTTTTCTTTTATTCTAAATATCAATTTAAGTAGAAAACTACTTTCAATAACTTTAATTATCTGAATTGTTTTAACAGTGTCAATTAACAGATTTTTGTACTTGTTTTATTTAATTTTTATATATCTATTTATATGCCAATCTATAGGCAATGATTTGACTGAAATATATCTAGCTTTATAATACTTTAATATGTATGTAAACGGCTATAAAAGGTTACATTTACGAATAGTTTTTAATGTAAATGTAAATCTGTTTTCCTATCAGGAAACAAAAGCTAGGTTCGATAAATCCATGCCCCCTCTCGATTGTTTATTTGATAGACTACATTATTACATATATTTTGCATGTGATGTTATCATTTTTGGTGTAGTTTTACATGTAAAACACAACTCACATTGCTTAATTGCATGAATTCTTATCTCAGTAATTTAATGATTTATTAGAAATTTCACTAAGCCATTAACTCGTCGATTTAAAAAAAAAAGGACTTGTCCTGCTTCGAATTGGGAACAGTTCATTCATAGATGAAGGAATTTCAATATTAAAACACAAAAATTAACCACCGGAAGTATAAATACCTGGCTCCTGTAGCGGTGGCCAAGGCTAATTTACTTTCGGTTTCATGCAGGTTAAGTGTTAATATGAAGTAATTGTTGAAATATAAGACAGTTAATTTAAAATAAATACAACTTATCATTTAAGAATGAATTCGTAAAAGTTTCAGATTCTTTTAAATCCCTATCTTATCATGACATGACAAATTTTTTTTAACGTTCCGTTCTTCGGCTGCTTCTAAATTTGATTTGCGTTCTCTAAACATGTTGACATTAAATATAAAGAATAAAAAACAACACTAAAGGCGAAAATACTGCGTATATTATAAATGAGTAAAAATCATAAGTAGATTTATTGATCAAATTATTTTTTGAAAAGGGAGGCCAAAAGTAGACAGGCCTTTATTTCGGCCTTAACATTAAGGCTTTATCGATATCTTTATTTCATGAAACACCAAATTTTAAAAGTCAAGCGTGCAAGCTATTTCATTCAAATTGGCATTCTTTCATTTCCATTTCATCGCCAGTCCAAACGTATCGCTATACAATCATTGATTCGCTACATGTGTTGTGTAATTTAACGATAATTTACAAGGCAGCAGCGTGTATTATTTATGTTCGAATACGTAAAACATAATATTAATTCTAGCATCTAAGATATATGTCCCATTTAGTGTTATCACACTTGTTACAGTTATCACGCACATTCCCAGAACCTGGCACGATAGTACATGTTTGAAATGACTAATCATCACATAAAATCAACACTATGATATAAACTATCTGGATGGACTTTGATGAAGTTTTGTGTAATTGTTAGCAACTTTGTAGGTTAGTAGAGGTGACATATCTTATAGATAGAGCGCGTCGACCGTGATAAACGTAAGACAAGGTCCAAGATAGGTTGATTTTAATACGTAAGCTGTAAAGATATATCTATGTTTAAAAATACATGCAAAAGTAACATCCGCATTTCAGAAAAAAAACACGTTTCGTCACGTTATTATAAAGTACTCGTTCTTTTTACAGAATATGATTTACAAAATGTTAAAGTGTTTTCAAATGTTATTGTCTGTAACGTTTGTAAGGTGCAAATTTATTATTTTTGTGGGTAAATGTTGTATATTGATACTTACTACCGAGTTTTTGGCTGTTAATAAACGATGATCAATAATAAAACTGTATTTCAGATTTTCATATAAAGACAGAAGTTCCGAATCCAAAGAGCCAGTCCTCCCAGGATATTTTGCGTGACTAAAGAGAAATAAAATGGTAAATATAGACCAACCAATAGTCTCTGAATCGCAAATTATTCTCAGAGAAATTTTGCAAAATCGTGAATCAATTTCAAGTGAAACAAATATAGACAAATCTGTTAAAATGCACGACACTCAAAGCACACCCCATAAACCAGATCATGAAAATATGGCGCCAGGACATGAATTAAATGGAGAACATTCCTCAAGATCAGATCGAGGCTCAGAAACCGGAAGTGACGAAGAATCAAGCTATCTTGACCAGAGCAGGGTTGACGAAACTGATGGAGATGATCAAAAATCAGACGCCGATGAAACAGGCTCGATTGGTATAAACCCAAATGAAGAAAGTAAAGAGGCGAAGAGAGCAAGAGTGGAAAATATACTCACTTCAATGCAGCATCCACAATTTGTAGATATGGAATCAATGTATGGAATGAATGAAGTCAGACGACAGAAACGGAAGCAGACGTTACCTCAGCAACACGAACAGGCGGCTAAAATGAGAAAACTTGATGGTCCACATTATGAAGACGATCTCTGGAACTTGAGACATCAAATAAATGCTGTGCAAAGTTATTTTAGACAATATGACGATAGCTTACCAAAACAAATGAATGGCTTTGGTGCCATGGACAATATTCATAGACTTCATCAAGCTTACTTTGCCAATCTCTCTGCTAGACATGCAGAAGAAGTTCAAAAAGAACAACAGCAGCAGTTACAAAATAGAGCAGCCGTTCTTGGAGCTTTTGAGAAGAAAGTGTCCAGTGCTAACGAACATTTTAACATTGCGGAACATGTAAGGGAAACAATGAATGCCAATAAAGGACTCTCACAGGGTGTCGCTGAACTTAATGATAAAGAACTAAATGAACTGATTGCAAACCTTAAATCAAAAATAGAAGAAGCTGTAAGTGTGACTGTTGATAAAGAACTATCAAAATTCTTTCAAAAACGCAATAATAGCAAAGACAATGCTTTTGATACTAGAGACAAACAAACAAAATCTGAGACAAATCAAAATGAGGAGAAACATGGAAAAGAACCAGAGAAGAAACAAACCACTGATCATTCACTGAATCATATTCTACAAATGCCAGACAGGTCAACACATAACAATTCATTTAGAATACCAGAGAGACACAGTGCTTTTGAATTACCAAAACTAAGTGGTGGTTTACAGGATATTCCTAGGACGCCATTTCCACACCACCCTCCTCTCGGGTATCCTCCACTCTCCTTCTACCTCCCAAATACACTCCATCCGCCATCTTTGTATTCATGCCCGGTTATTCCTCCTGAGCAAACCGAAGCGCTCTCACTTGTCGTAAATACGCCGAAGAAAAAGAGAACCAAGGTCACAGACACTCGACTTTCACCGCGTGCCGCTCGAGCTCTTTTACACGAAAATGGCACGTTAGGTTCAGTGTTTGAACACGAAAGAGCGCTCTCTTCAAGTTTTGGGCAGATGAACCCGCCATGTTTACCAACAAGTGTTGCAATACCAAACCCTAGTCTCCAACACTCTGACATCCTCAACTACTACAAGGAACAAGCCATGTGTAACTCCCCTAACGAGAATGACCGCACCACACCCTGCTCATCTACGTCACCATCAGAAGGCGGATTTGGCTACATGAAGTCGGACTTCTTCAATGACGGTGACTCGTATGATCAACATGGCAAACAAATTATATCCTTTTTGTTACCTTTTCATTTACGTCAATAATTATTACAATTTTCTATTTCTTATTGCAAAGGAGTCATATTTTCTGTCATACTGATATATCTGCAGTGTCATCTAACGTTATATCTACCTTCTTAACAATCCCTATGCGTTCTATTTAAGGTATTGTGATAAGACCATGTCGCAGGTATTATGTTAGGTGTCGAAAATATGTGTTAAAGTATGGGGTCTGGCAAAAGCAAGGTGTGTTTAATGGAAGTCTCTGCAAAAGAAGATGATTATGATTCCGTATAGAAAATGCCAATGTAACATTATATCGATTTCCCCGCTGTTTACTAAATTATATGATTCCAATTGTATGACATATATAGATAATAATATATAATACTAGGTATATCTACATAACGTCCCTAATAATGTGTAGGAAATTACATGTAGATTGCAACGAACTTAATCTGTAGTAACAGAGTTTTTATCTTTATATCTTTATTTTAATTTTATTTCGTTATTTATTCTGGGTAAGTTCATGATCCATTGGATCTGTTTCCTTTATCTAGTTACTAGTACACATTCAGTTAAAAGATACGTGTATCCGTACCAAAATCTCCATCACCGTGAAATTATTTTTTTCTCAAGAAGTGAATTCCATTTTTCATTTATACTAAGTACACTCTAAATATACTAAAAAAACTATTGGCTAAATGATCAATTCAACTACAGACCCCAACACGACAGTTTTAATAACAATTCATGAATTCAGTGTAATATATTTAGCTATCGAATAAACACGACCTTTTAATTTATTGAAGAAAACAATTATTTTGCTGCGCTGTGAAATATTAGAATGAATGAATACTCTGTTGGGTTCCTGTATTGTCTCAAGACGTTGTAATTTTCAAAAATGTCTCAAATTACAGGCTTGTTATAAGTTTCAAGAGAGACTTTTTTGCCGCCTCGTTGTCTTTGAGTGTTCTGGAAAACCTCCGGCATAGAGCGATGACAATGATAAAAACTTTAATAAGTAGGCACAGTTTTAATCTAAGCCTTACATTTCAGTGTGCGTATCTTTAATTCAAGGGGATTAGAATCACATGCTGAATATTGTTGCATAATATGTTTTACATCATTTTTGAAATGACTGTATACATGTATATGAATGACATATGTTCGACATAAATATTTTCATCATAAGAAAACCTGTCATTAACTTGCTAAAGAATTCCATCCTTCGGTAAATGATAGGAAAACACGAGTCCTCGTGGGACATATATGGATTCTTCACAGTCCTTTGAATCTATCTTTTCTCCAGGTCTACCGTATTTTCCAATGGCATTGCCAGTGACAATTAGAGATAAATAAGTAATAGCGATAATTAAGAACAAAGTCTTGGAAACATGGAATATCGACTTATTCGGTTATTATGGCGGATGATTTGCCTGATAGTTTCTAATATTTTGATCGAATGCTGTTTCCGCGGCGTCTCAAGCAACTATTCTTTACTTCCGGTTTAGCTATGATCAAAACAAAAGAGATTTAATACCGATTTTTTAAATTCTTTTTTTTTCTTTTTAGCTTTGAATCCAAACATTGTAAAAATATACGCATGTTTCACAGGCTTCATCCGTAGAACATACATTTGCCGACGCTTAGTGCAATGAAAAAAGTATTTCTAATCAATATTTAGAATAATTGTGGGTATTTTTTCAACAGCTCTTCAGTGCGGAGAAGTGTTGTCTTACACGTAGAACAAGTTTGAGAAGACTACTTGTGGTGTTTGAGAGCTCATTAGTATCCCGTTTCATTACGCTTGTCCAAACATCCTTATGGGGAGAGAATTGTCTATTAAGAAGATTGGTTAATAACTAGTTCTTCTCCTCTAGAGCCGCTTCACCAGTCCCTTATGACAATTGATCAGGGCATATTAAATACGACGATACAAAGAAGCGTCAAAACAGTTATCACTTTAGAAACCGAGACAATAAAAAAGAGAAATAAAAGATAAAGCATGTCTCGATGTTAAGATTTGTGGATCTCTTTTCCGGTCGTTGAAAATCCTGAGACCTTTTGTGTGATATTTTGCTTTGAATCGATTTGTTTTTATATAATTTCTAAGACGCTTTACTTTATCTGTTAAGTAGTGCTATTATTTTTTATGAGATATTTGATCATGTGTTTAAATGACGTCTGCTGAACGGGGAAATCGAAGATGCTACTTGGAAAAGTTTGTTCACATCAATTTATATTGAACATGATCAGGCAATCGTCACGTATACGCATCTTAATTGTCTTCTAGAAGGTCTTCAAGACGCGTGCAAATATTTACAAACTTTCATTTTTTAAGTTCCATAGAAAGAAAACATTTAAAATGCACTCGGTGTCTGTTAATCTTTCATTCTTTAAAATCAATTAAAGACAAAGTAAACCTCCACCTTAATGCGTTTCTTGGACGGAAGAATATTGTTTTTATTCCTTGCAATATTTGCTGAGTTTTTTTTTATACAAGCGATTTATTCAAAGTATTAAACACTGGCAAGAATATTATTTTCAAATGGCGAAAGAAATATCCTCTCTATTTTGGCAATTAAGTAATTAATTATTTATTAAATATTCAAAGCATATTGCCAAATCTGCTTCCAAATCGACAATTTTGTCATTTTTGTCTGTATAAAAACATTTTCATTTGCCACTATTCAGTCTATTGTCGTAAACCATCATGCTCGCTGTCATTGTCGTAAAACATCTTGGTTGCGAGACTCTATCAATTATTGTCATTCTTAACACGCATGTATAACTCTTTTGATTATTTGATTATGGGCGGAATCAATTGGAAAATGATACCTTAAGTAGAAAATATGAGTGTAAGATTGCTAGCTCTCTGGAACATCTAATAACGGGGATCAATTGAACACGGCGTCTTTACTGAGCTGGCTTTTGACATTGTAATAGGAGAAGCAAACTGATGTTTAGAAAATCTGAAAGTCCTCGAAATTGTAGATTAAAATCTCGCCATATGCTATTAATTATGTAAACGGCAATTCTTTCCTCTAAATGGTTATCAAAAGATTTTTGTTGTAATAGTTTTTTTTTCTCAAATAAATACAAAACTGATAGAAAAATACATGTTACGGTAGGCAAAACGTTTTTAGTCATTACACAAAAGCTGTAATTGTATTATACCTGATTCCATATTTAAATATATGTATTTTACTGAAAATATTAAAAGATATTTTGATAATAAATGTTGTAATTTATCCACATACTTTGACCTTAACTATTCATACACTGATACATTGACGCCCATGCATCTGCGGAAAGCCAAGTTGATGTTTTTCTACGTGAGATACCCAAGTTCTGCCATCCTGAAGGTCTACTTTCCTGATGTTCAGTTCAACAAAAATAACACAGCTCAACTAGTCAAGTGGTTCAGCAACTTCAGGTGCGTACATGCGTGTTTTTTATATTTCTTTCACTTAACTTTATCTTATTTGGGTGCTTCAAATTCGGTCAATTATTTTATCAGACTTTGATGTTGTACCAAAGTTATGCAAATTTGTAGGACAACAAAAATTCCTAGGTTCAATAAAGTTTTGATCAGTGTTTAAAACGGAAGCTTTACTTAAATTTGGTCATGACTTTTTCACACCCTCCATTAACCAATGAAATTTCAGAACTTTAAATGTAAAGTTATAAGAAGATACATTACGTTTTTCTCTGGACTTTATGCAACTATCTAAATATGCAATAATCACTTTAATCCAAAATTGTGCTATTTCGTATCAGGGTCATTTAAACCATTTGAAAGGTCCTGATTGTATATCGCAACGCTTAAGCAAACGTTATAACATTAATTTTAACAATTTCATAATTATCAAGAGTGGATTTGGTAGATTAAACCATTCAAGTAACGGCAGCTGGTAAAACTGGTTTACGTAGAACACTGACCAGTCGTTTGTCCATTTGACATTTGGCGCTCCAGGCTCGACCGATATGGCATTTAAACGTTGTAATGATGTACTAGGTCTAAGATTGAGCGTATCCCCCAAGTTTTGCCGGCATATTATTAGGACCAATCAAGTACTTAAGATAAATATCAGTAATAACAATGGCGACGCTATGAGAACTTAACGCATTCTAAAGGTCATATATGACAAACTTTGCGACTTTTTTGTTTGTGGTACTGAAGAGGAAAGGAATGTTTTAATCGAGAGGAGAAATTGTACTTTAGAACACGCCTTCAGTTTAAATAACTTCAGATCATTTTGAGCTTGATATTTATCACTTCTTTCGCTTCATTTTTTATAATAAAACATATTAAGGAAGCTTAAACCCAAAACATTGTTTCCATTTTTTGCAAGGAATAAGGTAAAGAAAGAAAAAATACATGTCGGTGTATTATGTATAATTCCAAGACTAAACGTTTTTTTCTGGGGGCAGACGAGAAACATTTATTATACAGACGTTATAATTCGATATACAATTGTCTTTTACGTCTGGTGATTAATCGTTTATAAGAGGAACATTAACAAGTTGAGAGAAATTATTCACATCTGGCCTAGACGCAGACAAATACCTTTAAAGTAGAAAGCTTCATGTCAGTTCGGCAGCCAAAATAGTAGTCCGAAGTGTGTCGCAAGGGTCACTTGATACCCGTAATTCTCGCTATGCTGTGGACAAAGTAATGGTGGTTCACACCACGACTATACTAGAGTCCCCAAAACTAACCGAAAGATCATCACTTTCTAGTCTAAATGAATATGACTGCCAGACGTCGGTTTCTTTGCGTTTTCACTTCACAGTGTGAAACGCTGGTATCATATGTTTCCTTTCCATCAAATAAAAAGGGAATTTTCTACCACATTACGTGTGTGTCGTTCAAAACATCAACACTACTTCCGTCAAGATACTAGTATTAGAAACTGAAAAGCATCATCATCTTTCCTCGCTGTTAATCGATTTTTTTTTAATATAGATTATGTATATAAATCGATCGAGGAGATTATATTTGTACAGCAAAAGTCACTTTCTTAATATTTATTTTCAAATAAGTCAGCGTCTCTAAAGAACGCTGTATCTGTTTTAAATATCTCTAATAGAATATTTAATGAAAATAAATGGCAAAGAACAATTTATGCAGAAAACAATTTGCTTAATAAATATGTTAGCTCATGCATGCATATTTTCTATTTCTACTGTTGAATTTACCACACCATGGAAATTTCGTGCATTAATCAACAGCACACTGTATTTTTTACATCAAAAATCCGGGTCTCGTGCTGCCAGCTTTCACCGCTAATAGCATTCAGACGTTGCGCGTTGCCAACCTTTTCAGAGGAAAGATGTGTACTTTTCATTCAGATCAAATGAACGGGAAAAAAGTCACATGGTGTCAGTTGCATCCCGGATCAACTGGGTGACAATATTTTATATCAAAAAACAACATTTAAATGTTACAAGAACAATATGTTTGAACTAGTTCCATGACATGTTGATGTTCTAATTTTAGAATTCTCCTTGGTGATTTTTATTAAAACAACATTGGCACATGCACAAATTAAGTCGAGCTAAAGCGTCAACAAAAAATATACAAGTCGTATGTGACGAAAGCTGAGGAAACTGATATTCTAGCATCTTTACAATTAATTGGACAGGTACCATAAAGCTCACGGTCAAGAATGCATATATTCACCAAGAACCTCATTATATGGAAGAAAATCTCGACAAATCGTCATTTAAGCAACTTTAATTTAGCCAAATCTCTCCCAACTCAATAACATCACATTCTATTCTTACCAGGAAATCAAGTGAAAGGAAAATTAAATCTTGATAGCGCAAAGTTTGTCGATGGAATTAACGGACACGCGTTGTAAGATAGTCTCGCAAGATTTAAACAAATCTCGCGATATTTTAAGCTTCTAATGAGCCTGATTTGAGAAAATCTGTCAATATCTTTAATAATCTTGGGAGAAGGGTAAATAGCAACAGTTTGTCGAGGGAATCCTTTGTTAATAATTACCAAGACGGTTTGCAAGTGTAAACAGTAACCTGTGTATTTATCGTATGCCGACTTGGAAACATTAATAAGAAATGGATAGAATAAACAAGCGTCTAAAACGAATTATTGGTCCAACGAGTGGGTGAATACAAAATGCTAACAAGGAATAAAATCTTGTTAATTTATCTATTAGGAGAACAAGTGTCAACACAGCCGCCTTGTACTTCATTTTCATTTTCCATTCTTTTTTTATTCTGCTTTATTTCAAGTGAATAATTAAAGTACCTTTAAATGTATTCTAGTACCCTAATGACACAATGCCAAAGCAGCAGCAACAACACCGCAATATAGTGAACAATTTTACCGCGATGTTGACTAATTCAGTTTCCCACACTAAAATCAAGTATGAATGGATAGTTGCCATATCGAAAATCATTTTTTGCTTTAAAAACAATGTCCAAAAGGGAAAACATAACCTTTATAAATTGCGGATATTTACAGAATTAATGTATTTGTTTGTGTTTCAGGACCGTCTTTCTCACGTGAAAGTGTTTCATCAAAACGTTTACATTTTTGGCAATTTAACAAAAAAAATAAATAAATGATGTAAATTTAAAATTAAACAACTCAAAGGCATACTAATATCATATTTAATAATAAAAACGTAATTTTTTGCATAAACAGAAAACAATGTCTTGCAGAGCTTTATGAAATTCTTATGATCAAAATGTGTATTCGTTAGTTTCAACAGAAAATTAAATTATCTGAAAATAGTAGTTAATACACATATTGCGTTTAATTCGTTTGTACATGTCTGGTTTACCCCTGTTTCATTGCGAATATTTTCATGTACTACTTTATGTTTAACGCTGAATTCATACATTTGACTGAGTCCTCAGTTTTAAAAACAGTCAAACCTGTAGATCTCACCGCCACAAAAATATATAGAAAGACCGGTCACTTAAAGCCAGCATTTTCTCTTTATATCAAATATTTAACAAAACATTTTTTTTCGATACACCAAGTATTATAATACATTGTTCTACGATTTTTACCCAGGATTGTCTTTATTAAGAACATTTTTATCATGAATATCATTATTATTGTATATGAAGACACTTATTTACAATATAATGAATTATATTTTCAGGGAGTTTTACTACATTCAGATGGAAAAGTATGCACGCCAGGCAATTGCAGAAGGGTGCAAACATTCCGAGGAGCTTACAGTTAACACGGACTCCGAGCTGTACCGTGTGCTCAATCTACACTACAATAGAAATAACCAAATTGAGGTAAGTCTTAATACTAGTGTAAAACCCGTCTGTCCGGACAACCGGTATTTATCTAAAAATGCAATATTATACAAAAAAAAACTTAATTGGTGGACTTTGTAGACAGGTTGATCTGTATTTAAAGGGGCGGAAAAGGATTTAAGAAATTCAAATCCTAGTATAAGATTAAGTTTGCATTGTCAGATACACATCTACACAGGTACCGACTCAAAAGAACAGATCAAAATGTAAAAAATGTGTCAATCAAATTATAAATGTATTTTTCAAATACCCCTCACTAGAATCCACTGGTAGTATCCAGCTTCTGTTTATAAATAGAAAAAACAACAACAAAACAACAGCAACCAAACAGAAACAGCTGGATGTATGCCCCGTGTTCATATCTAATATTCTGCCAAAATTCTGGTATACCACTATGTAAGAATAAACTGTCAGAGCGAGATGCCAAAATCTCAATTTCATATTATATAAAATTGACTTGCACGCCTATCAATACTGCGATAAAATTCTATCGTATGCCCTGGTATCAGAAATCTAAATCTCGGCGTGGCGGTTGAATCGGCAAGAGCTAAGATAAAATAATCATTTTTCGGTTAATAAACTACATAATCATAAATTTAATATGACGATAATGTGTCTACATATAAATCATGGAAACCATTGTGGCGATGCCTTAATGTACCGATAGCCAATTCTAATAGAACAATTTTTTATTATTAAAGTGCGCAAAGTTTGGTTTGAAGCGAATATATGTATGCATGACGTGACAATAAGCTATTTGAATTGTATATATACTTTTAGATTTTACAGTAATAAAAACGCAGACTTCTTCTCGTGTTAAACCTGCCGAATTGCAGTTTTATATTTTGAATTTGCCCTGCTTTTACTTTGGAAATTTATGGATACAAAAATTGAGCCTCCAGCAATTTGGAGCCTGGTAAAACTACACGGATGTGCAGACTGGCCTGCCTCTATACTGGTGGTAAAGACTAACCACTTTGGATTCCATCAGAATAATCTATATACACATGTATTTTCCTCTTTAAGATTTATTCTAAATCATATCAATTACGACCGCCGATGTTTTAATGCTTGTATTTAAATTGCGTGCTTCCTTATGGGTAAACAAATTATAAAAACTATATTTAGAACTCAGGAAATGTATAATTCAGACCCTCTGTGACGTTTTGCATACTTTACAGTTATTTCTTTATCATAATAATAATAATAATAATAATAATAATAATAATAATAATAATAATAATAATAATAATAATATCTTTATTTAAAGAAGGTTACACATTAAGAACATACAATAACAATCATATATATCTTATTTCCAAAGTGGCCTTCTGAAATAGAAAACAACAACAACATGACATGCATAGGTAGAAAAATGAATGTATAATATGTAATTTTTAGAATAATACAACTCATATACTTTCTAAATCATATCAATTATATATGGTAATTGAAAAGGTACCATAAAACTCACGGTCAAGAATGCATATATTCACCAAGATAATTCATCATTATCTATGCTTAGTAACTCTTTTTGTCATATGTTAAGAAATTGTCAGCTTGTTGCCCAACATCTTTAAAATTTACTCTCTTGTATATTTGACTATGTTGCTATCTTTTAGAACACTGTTTAAATTTTCATTATTTAAAGCACGTATCTTGAGATATACTGCTCTAAAGGTCGATATATATTCGTCTTAAGGTGAATTTTTTATTGGATATCGACTTTATAATTACCATAAATCTCGTGGGCATAGTGCTTAACGGACTGCGTTTTGTTTAAATATCTTTTCGCCTGAAACGTATACGTTTGTAATGACTTTCTTACATTTAATTTGTTCATGTTTAACTCCCAAGTCACTTTTGATGAATATTTCATCAAAGCCTTAACTGCCGGTAATGATTTAAGACTTATTTTCTCGTAGCGATTACAATCAAAATTCACGCATGCGTAGATGGATAATTAAGGTCTTCAGAAATGTTTAGCCATTACTTTAACATGCACAGTTCCTGTTGTTTTATTTCTATAACTCGCTTTCCATATGCTTTAAGACTGCAATATTCTTTAAAGGACTTTAATATTTAATGAACGAGTCAGAGAGACGGCAGTTATCATATCCGTACGGGTTTTATCCTCTCCTTTTAGTATCGGCGCAATTAAACCCTCTTCATAAATGAAGTCCTTGATCAAAAGAAGTCCATTTTCTATATTGGATAGGACGTCCCATTAAATATACATACTTCTTGGATCTCCTTTTATGGAATATGGCAATTAAAGGTGTCTTTTCAAAATATGATTACAATACGTCATAAAGCACTTCGGGGCTGTCATTTTCTTTCATAGAAAACAAGAAAATCGTGTAAATTATTCATGTCACACGGCATAGGAGAAAACAAAAAGTTATTATTTTCACTACAAGACGAGATGAGATGGTGTCCTCTTTGATCAGTATTAATAGAGACGAAGATATGGGTTTTAAAGACGACACAATTAACTAATGCACATTTACTTCTAGAATATTAATATCACTTTAGAGACACTCGGGAATTGAATTTCAATTGCAATGAAGAATAGAGTAGTCCATTAGAAGTGGCTTAGATATTGAGTCTCGGGCTTCCCTCATCTGAGGAAATCTATTTTCTTGTGTAAGCAGTTCCCAAGGGCCACCGTTTCTGCAACGTTACGGCGCTTTAATTGCTCGCATAGCTTTCTCAGACACTAAGTTACTTTGTCATATCTTGATATACATCAAACATAAAGAGAAAAACATAGGAACATGGACGCCGTAAATTTCAAAGGAAATACATGAAGAATATTGAGAGTAAACTTTGTTACTGTAGAAGTTATCTTAACTTTCCTTTCCACTAATATTACTTGTCCTTCAAACAAACTATAGAAACTTAAGTTACGATTACCAGGGGACCTATTTTCGAACTCAGACAGTAATGACACGGGGATGTCAAAACAAGGAGTGTGCTATCTCGGAACATTAGTACTAATGCATTCTTTAATTTTCTGCTAATCTAGACTTCCTTTAGCGGCGTTAATCTAGTTCTGCTTTGCCTTATCAGCCAGAGCTTATCTTTATTCTTCAGAAAGAATCGCAATGCTTTCAGCGGGTTGTCCCTCAGGAAATCAGCGAGCTTATGAGACCGCGTTAAAATCTCGTCTGTTACGAGACTCAAAGATCCAAGATGGAGTTTTATTAGTTCTGAAGGCGGGAAATAAAACAAACGGGGTCGTATTCAGAGAAAATAATGATCCTATCCCATTATCTTAAAGATCGGCTAGTAGACTATTAAGTAGAAATCAAACCAGTAAATTTAATGAATGGGGAAAGTAATTTAATCAGAAAAAATATGGTATATTGTATACACAAAAGATATTGATGGCCAATGGCATTATGGGACATACGAGAATAGTCTAGCCCATCTCAGGAAACTGTCAAAGTATTGAAAGCGCAAAGATAAGAGTTACGAGCCGTACCACAAAGGCATTGAACTCAAATAGGAATGTTTGATGATTTGTTCAACTGGAACTTTCCCCCCAAGAGACCAAATGAGATGCCATGTAAAAATCGTGAACACAAGAAAATTAAATGTAGCGGCTTACGCTATAATGATATATTGAGCACAACTGTTGAACGTGTTTGATTGAAAAAAACTAAACAAAACACTAAGTGAATAACTTATCAATAGGGGGTTTAAATATTTAATGACTTTGATATTCTAATGCATTGGTTTAAATCATTATTCTTGTAAACATCCAAATAAAAGTGTATTTGTTGAACTTCAGTCAACTCTTTAGCACAATGGCGTTTATTTTATGATTTCAGGTGCCCGAGAATTTCCGACTAACAGTTCAATCAACGCTACGAGAATTTTTCATTGCAGTAGCTGCCAATAAAGATTCTGAGCCTTCCTGGAAGAAGCCCATTTACAAGGTAATTGCCCGTATGGATGACGCACTTCCGGAATACTTTAAATCGCCGAACTGGATGGATCAACTTGGTGATGCCTGATGGTGATAATTTCAGTAGCCGTTAGAAATTTAGTCAAATGAATGTCGTCTGCTATGTGAATATGACTTCTCTTAGATAGTATAAACTGATTTTTATTCAATTTATATCAACTTCAGGCGAACAATTTATATATTTATATGATGAACGCTTTAAGAGCGCAGATCAAATAATAAACTAAAAGTTTAATACATGTAGTATATGTTCTCAACAAGTGAAGGGACGTTTAACCAAAGACTGGATGTTTGACGGGTGCGACAATCAAAATCCTGCCCCCTTTTTTTTATACATATAAGGAATGTTAGACTTATTTTTCATATTGTGCTATATATATAAAAGTATTTGATAATTTGAACTTAAATAATGTTTTAGCAATACTTTTGTTTGTTGCCAGGGAGCAGTATTTTATTTAGTTATTATTATGTTTGTTTATTTTTGCAAAAGGTTGTGTGCAAGCAATTGCTGTGCTTGTACACAAATTTAACCCTCACACCGCTAAACTTATGTAATGTTGGGCATTTGGAACACTTTATTGTTATGCTAAATGGTTACAGTATCATAAAACCAAAATTTGAGACCAACCAATCAGAATAGTGATACTCGGACTAGCCGGATATGCAGGCTGGTTTGGCATTTTACTGGTTGATTGGACTGCTAAATGTAAAGGGTTAAATAATGCTGATCTATTTTGTATTTTGAATAAAATAACAAATAAAAATGGTATATTCAATGAAGAGTGCATTTAATTATACTTGCACTAAGATAATATTACGATGTTTTTTTAAACTAACCAAATACTGTAAAACTGACACCATTTGACATTTTTAGTAAAATAACATGTATACATATTTGTTAAGTCAATATACTTAACATGGTTGTTACCAATATACAAACCACATTATGTGATTTTAAAACCAATTTTTATTCTAAAAAAAATAAAGTGACTTGATTGTTTTGTGACATTCCTCATCACCTGACAGTGAGGGGTTACATTCCATATTATGTGACATTCCGTGACATATAATGTGACATTCCGTGACATATTTGTATTATCTTTATTCAATAAATTAATAAATATTTATTCCTTTATTAATTAATTTGTATCAATTATTTTATAATTTCAAAACCAATTTCATTTGATATACACAATTACCTGATCAAAAACTGTAAGACGTGACTGTTTTTGCTATTTTTATGTCTTGTATAGAGTTGTCGCTCTTTTTTAAAAAAATCCAGATAGGTGGGGGTTAAAAAAAGAAATGATATGTGTGTTAAACTGTATTTTCCTTTACTTTTTTGAGATCAATGAAATATATTTCTAGTCATATAACGATGATTTCACCATTTTTACATGTATTACATATGTTAATTTTCTTTTCTCATTTGTATAGTTTCTAATCATGTCGGGTTAAATGTTAATTTTTACTTCGTTATAATTATATATCTTATATTATGTCTATTTTTTTTCTTCTGCCTGAAATCCAGAGGACCTAAAACATCATATATTAGTATTTTAATACACTTACAACTTTTTTCTCTCCATATTTTGTATCATCTTTTATCTGATCATATATTCATTGTTTACTTCAACTGTCATCGTTCATAGTAACAATCTGTTTCATATGTCATACATATTCTCATTATTATTATATGTTTTGCTGTTGAAATATCTAAAAAAAAAAAATGACATTGTATAAAGACGTAGAAAAGAAAATAAAACGATTTTTTTTTTAAAACAAAACTTTTAACAAGCATGTCTTTCAACAACATCTTTGGACAAAAAATCTTCAAATTCATTGTTGATGTGTTTTCTCTTTTTTTCTATCTTATAAAACATTATGTTAATGACAGATTTTGTTTACGTTTAATTAAGAATGTATTTATACTTACAGCTTGGTTTCTGTGCATTATAATGTAAAATGCACGTTTTTCTCGATTTTTTCTTTTGAAAATATAATGTAGCGAGATCGATCTACACTAAATAATTTATAGCATGTTGTAGATTATGCTCTATGCCTGAGAAATCACGTGTCCGAAGTGTATATCCTGTAAGGATTTCTGGACTTTTCATCAATTAAACATACATCAACTTAAACTGGGAAAAAATCGAATGATAAATTTGGGAAAAAAAACTACAATGAAGTACCAACTTACATTTCAACATTTGCTTGCCTGTATCTCAATAAGTTTTTTACATGTATATAAAGTTATTTTAAAATAGAAAAAAGGTATATGTTGATTCTATCTGAAAAGGTCAGGATTATTATTTGCTTAAATGGAAGTGGTTTTTATCATGTGTAAATAGTGAAGGCTATACAGTATGAAAGCTGGGAGGTATCTCATTTTTTTCTGGTTTAAATGAGTATAGGTTCAGGTGGTTGTGCAAACTCTTTGTTACTTTTTTTACATTATTTATGTACGCACATTGTGCCGATATTTTTCTTCAGAAGAGATTTTGTATTGTGCAATAATACATTAGCAATTTGATGAATTTGATTTTTATTGTTTGTTTATAAAATACACAAATGTTTTCTTCTTTGTAACAGAGGAAGAAACTTTTCTACGGAAACCAATAGGGGCAATCATTTGCAAAACCATGTTGCAAAATTCCATTTTTGATTATCACGGTATGGAAGCAAATGTGCTCCATTGACCGCACGTAAAACTTCATTTATGTATATACGTATATATGAAATATGATCTCTTATATTTGCCAATAATTCATGAAGGTTTTTTTTGTCAATATGTTTAATACATAGTTAACTGACTGTTGGTTAACGACCTCGGTCCTAATGTTGTGACATCTAAACATTGCATCATCTTTTATATCTAATGTCAACAGCCATGTTCGGCCTAAAATTACGCATTAATTCTTAAAACAGCATCTTTTATTTGTATCACCAGTTTCCGCCAAAAATATCAAAGAGGCAGACGACAAAAATAAATACAAGATTTTCTACATAGCTATATAAAAGCGAACATGCGTGGTTTTTATACATTTTGTTTACAAAGACTGTTTTGTATACTGAATTCTATACACGTATGATAACATTTTCTGAGTTTTAAAGGATATGTACATTTACATACAAAACGAAACTGAGATATTCTTTAACAAAGAAAAGAAACAATTGTTTCGGGATAGAATTATAGAAACAAGATGTTCAGTTGTTGTTATCTTATCCTTGTATAACGTGAATGTAACAGCTGCGAATTAATGAGACAAGTCGAAACTTTACATTTCATTAAAACAAAGATGTTTTATCGCCTAATTAAAGATACTGTATTAAATAACCATTGCAGATGTTTACAAATTAATACGAACGGGAGTTTAAATAACATTTTCTTTGTAAGAAATAGGTAAAATTTGCATATCTTAATTAAGAATGCAAATATGCCCTACACTTTTCGTGTTGGTGTAATTATCTCTTTTATAGGAAGTATTATTTTATTATTTTTGTCACGGTATTACAAATTGTATTTTCAATTAAAAATGACATTTCGTATTAAGGTAAATTTAAATATTTGACTTTACAAACAATAAGTGAATGTTAAGGGACATTCACAAGTATATGGTGTAAATATATATATGTTCCCATGTTATTGCCATTTTAAATTTCATTTTTCATTCCATTGTGTTTATTTTTTTGTATTTATACATTTTGATTGTTATATATACTATTGTTAATGACTCCCTCATAATCTCTTATTAAATGTTCTTTTGAAATAAATAGATATTTAATTGAAATTCTTGTTTGTGTCATTCTACTTAACACCGTTACTTGTTCTTAAACCAATAAAAAATGTACACCTTCATCCCCCAAAAAACGTATTGAGGGATTAAAGTTTTATACTATTGATTGAGCCTGTTCACGGACGGAAGTGGTAACTGCAAGCTACCGGCCACGCAAAAGAAGCACCGGCTTCAGCAGAATTCAACATTAAACATGAACTCGTAAACTTTTTAATTTTGAAGAAAAAAAACGCATATGAACCGTCCCATAAAATTGAAAAATATCAGCTACATGTAAAACCCCAAAAAACAACAACATTTCTCAAATTAGACTTCATCTTTGGTTAAGAAATCTGTATAAAATATCAAAACTTGAAAAATGAAATTGAAAAAAATAGTATACTCGTATTTAACCTTGCTAAACTTAAGACTATTGTGATATTTTTTCAAATTAACATTTCTGTCATGAATATTCTATCATTAAATATGGCGATTTATGGACCAAAAATCTTATTTTACATATATTAATTAGTCAGTTCAGACGGAGAATATAAGTTAGAATGTACTATAAATTAGTACTTTATAAGGAACGCCAGGAGATATTTCCGGAGTCTGTACTTTACGAAGCATTAGCCATTCAGTGTTTTGGAGATCGGACGAACATTAATTAATTACGATCCAGTTTTAGTGTGACCAGGTAACTTGACCGCCATATTACATCTATCATATAATCAGCCGTGATGTATGTATTAATTATCTGACGACATCTTTTTATTATAAAAATTCTATAAAAGGAGCGTTAATATAATCAATGAATTAAAATAAATTTATTTCTTCTATTCTTCTACAGAAAGTCGTCAAGTACAACAAGCACTTGTTTTTTGTATGTTTAATTAAGAAATCTAACGAATCGATGTACAAATCCCAAGGAACTTCCTCTTTCTAGATTTGATTTCACATTTCCTTTCAATATAAATTGTTTTCCTTGACGCAAATGGAATTCAGAAAGACCTGAGCAAAGATCTCACTTTTAACTCTTCTGTAAAGTTGATGAGATATATTAATATGCGTGGAATACGAACGCCCCAGTGGCTTAGACACTTAGTTACATTTAGAGATTACCATTTCTTTCAAAGAAAAATCAGGCGACCTGTATGATACTATAATCTTCTTACCTGAAAGATCTCTTACGTCTTTTGTCCCCGCAGAATTTCTTCCTGTTGTCGTAAATTAAACCATGAAACCACAAATAACGAAATTGTAAGAGGGTAAAGTGGTTTCTGGGAGAAACCGGTACGGCCATGGATCTTTTCAATTTTACGGAAATTAAGACCGCTGCGATTCTGAAAACGAATTAAGAAAGCTTTGATTGGACTTAGAATACTCAACGCGATGTCAGGTGTCTTTTATTGTAAGCCTGAATAGGGAAACATATAAGAAAAAGAAAAAATGAACTAAGTTCATATCGTAGACAACAGCGTCATAAAATATGTTCATGTTCGTTGCTGAAAAAGCCATTGGTCCCTGATTGGACTGAAAACTGTGTCTGACATATTTTCAGCTCACTTGGTATTACTCTGGAACTAATAGAATGTACAAAAGTAAATTTTGTCATAACGGTACCGTTGGCCTAGTGGTTAAGGCGTCCGCCTTCGGATCGGGAGGTCGAAGGTTCGAGCCCCACGGGGAGCGTTAATTGAAGGATGAATGTTTCTCGTGGGACTCGTTCCGAAATGGCCGCTTCGTGAGCCGCGAGGTATAGTTAAAATGAATGGTTACCGATTTCTATCCGCCTGGCGCCTGGCATAGTGGTAGGAATTGGGAGGTACATGTTATGCAACCAAAAGGTGTCTCATAAGTCAAAATGGCTGGCCCTTTCAGTAGGGGTGACACTATAATAAACAAGACCTTTACCTTTTTTATATATCTTTAAACTGCAAAATACACCAACTAAAAACTGTACTCATTGTTTTGAACCACATCGTTGTTATGACTTCTCCCATACTTTTAAATGTGTCAAAACGATTGCTCGTTTACAGGGAGAACCAATCAAACACTCGTAAAATTTCGACAGATTCCGACATAGTGCTGAAAAGAAGCAGCTTTTTTTACAGACATACAGTGAAGATTTAAGAGAACTAACACCTAGTTGATGACAATGACAAATGATGAAGAGAAAAGATTTTATCTTAAAACTTCAGAATGTGTTTGAAAATCACAGCTTTTAAAATAATCTTTAGCCTGCAATCTCTTAATCAGGTATTTCTATAATTTTCATATGGGTTCACTTTCTTTCCTTGTGTGAAACAAAGAGTAAGTTTTAGTTTTCTTTATCGTACAATATGTGCACGATTACAAAAATAGAACTTTGACAAGCCACGTGTCGTCAAACGTGACGTCAATAGACCATGTGACGTTAATAAATTTACTTTTTTTCAACATGTACCATTAATTCCTTTTATAAGGAACATGTTTTCTACGTCCCGCCTGAAATCATATCAAAATTAAATATGTGTTTTTAAGAGAGAGTGTAACAAGGTCATTCTGGGAATATTCACTAGAAGTCGTTGTATAACATTTGATGCACGATTACATGACTTCATTGTCACATTTTTAATGTTTTACAAAAATCGTGAGTTTAATATTAGGACTATACCCCAGTTATAAGCTGTATTTCCGTGATGTAAACCCCGTACTCTTGACTGACATAATTCTGTTACAAATCAAATTGTACGATGACAAAGTTTAACATTTTTTACATTTTACGAACAAACAATTATAAGGAAACACTTAAGTAGAAAACAAACAGTGTAGTATTAAATCTCTTTTAAAAGATACAAACGTTACAACCGCCTGCTGGTTCTTGTCGGCAGACGACAACTGTTTCTACATCTGGCCACTGTTTCTAAGATTCTAAACTATTTATGCTACCTAATGGTTCACGATCATGTTCAAAACTCTTTGAAAACTAGCCGGAATAATGACAATCGCATCTTACAAACTTCGAATAGGGGCTATATAAAACTGTATGGCTGTATACAGAATATATTTTGTTATTGTGAATATATGCATGTATATTGTTATTCTGTCCCAGCTTGAAGTGTGAAGTGAACATTTATGTGGTCTAACCGGACTGTGTGCGCTATCGACAAATAAGAATGATTTCTAAGAAAAGTTCTAAAATCTAACAGTGGATGGGTTCAATGTAAAGAATAAGTTCATTACAAAGCAATACCGTGTAAGAGTTAAAACAACAACAACAACAACAACGCAAAGTGTACTGCACAGAGAAAGATCGGTATCTTAACAATTTCATTTTCAAAAGATGTTTTCACAATTGTCATAATAAAAAAAGAGAAATCGAAACAAAAATAACTAGTATTAAGCATTAAAAAAACTCTTAAATATTTAAAAGGAATTATAAACAGTCGAGTGACTCGTGCACGTGTTAGAACGAGCGTTAGAGATATTGTAAATAACAAAATTACATTTCATTTTTCTTTTGCAAACTGTAAGAGAAGAGGTATTTATAAGGCTCTATAATCATTAATAATACAACAAAACATCGTTTGTTTGCGGTGTATCCACATTTCTTCATTTATTTTCGCAAAAATAAGGGCGCTCTTTTAGAAAACTAAGCAAATAAAATTCCGATTTCGGTTCGTACTTTTTTATTATTCTGTAGTGTACTTCTTCCACCAGCCCCTCGTTTATGTCATTAAACCTCCCAATTTGATTAATAATCACTTTCTATATGATTAAAAAAGTTAAACCTTTTAACGCACGGCAATCAGTCGTTTTTCAACAATTTCGGTAGAAAATTCAATTTCACGGTGTTTACTTTAACATAAAAGTTAAAATTTCTTTCAGTTTATAACATTACCAAAACTGATAGCTTTAGATCTGGGGAGCACCTGTCCTGCGTGTAGTAAAATAATCGTAGAATGATGTCTCCTCAAACGGGTCATTCACGCACAATATACTTAATATATTGTCCCTTAAATTTGATTTAAAATGAATTAAAAGATTTTTATCACGAAGAAGAGGGGATTTTTGAAACGGGGTTAGCGTCTTATGTAAAGCTTGGCCCCTTATCTGCGGATTTTCATCAATTTAAATATTGTACAATTTCATTATTTAATAAATCTTCAGATGTATTCAAATTGACATTCCATCGCAAATATTGTAAAAAAGTTCACTTTTACTCACAAAACGAGTGTTCAGTGTTGTTATATTTTTTCTGATTCTTCGGGATCATTGATTCAAACACGTATGTGTTGAAGAATAAATACCACTTAAGCAGGTGCTAAGGGGCGTACGGGATTTTGCACTTTAACATTATCTCTCATGAACAGACTCAATCAAACCGGGTCTTGCCATTTTAAAGCAAAAAGTATATATCGAAAAACTAGTGAATTCTTCATCAGCAGCGACCTTGTGCAACAATATATCATTTTTGTTACGGAAATAATTCTTGAACTAGAATTATATTGATTACGAACCAATAGCCTGTCAGAAGACTTGAACGTAACACAAATCAACGAGAGTTTAACTCGTTTATTCATATCTTAATAATGCATACACCCTTTGCCGGAAAGGAAATTGTCTCTTCGACTATAGACAAAAATTTATCTTTTTTTCTGTATTTATCTGCTTTATATCCTTAATCTGTAAGCGGTAACATAGTCTGGGCATGCGACCAGTGCAGACCAGGCAGAACATAATTATATGCATTTAAAATTTTCCGCTAAAATGGTGAATGGTTTTGTCCAGAGTGAAAGATGGACACGTCCATTTTTGATGTTAAGCATGTTTTCAGGGTTAGTCTTTTGCATTCTAGGAGAAATTTTATTTAAACGCCATCTGCCAATCAGTTATATCGCGGATATAATTGCCATTTAAAAACGTCTTTGTGCCGGCTTTTTACTCAAATATTCTATCTTCAGCGTTAAAAGTCAATACACCTATCGATCACTTAATACCATTTTTTATAACTTGATAAAAAGGAAGAAATCT